CCTCGGTAACCCCGTGACAAAATCCATCGTGACTTCCTCCCACTTCCACTTCGGAATTGGTAGTGGTTGCAGGAGGCCTATGGGACTTTTGTGTTCGGCTTTGACTTGCTGGCAGGTTAAACATTTCCTCACAAAGTCGGCTACGTCCTTCTTCATCCCTCGCCACCAAAACGACCCTTTTAGGTCATGATACATTTTCGTGCTCCCTGGATGGGCTAAATAAGGTGCGGTATGAGCTTCGGTCAATATCTCTTTCCGTAACGCCTCGACTTTTGGTACCACAATCCTGCCTCGAAACTCCAAGGCCCCATCAGTGCCTCAGTGAAAACCTTCGACGCCTCCGGCACGGACTTTGGCATCAATAGCACGAACAAATTCGTCAAAAGCCTGCTCCCGCCGGATCCTTTCCCTCAGCGTCAGCTGAATCTGCATGGAACTGACACTCTCCGTAATGGCCATAGGAAGTGCATCCACCACCTAAATCTGCATCCGGGCGAACTCCTTGATAAGACGACTCTGCTGAGTAACAACGTACGTCAAGTCACCCCTCACCTTGCGGCTTAGGGCATCAGCAACGACATTCGCCTTTCCCAGATGGTACTGGATCGTGCAATCGTAATCCTTGACGAGCTCTAACCAACGGCGCTGTCTCATGTTGAGCTCCTTCTGAGTGAAAGTATATTGTAAGCTCTTGTGATCTGTGAAAATCTCGCATCGACCGCCGTATAAATAATGTCGCCAAATCTTGAGAGTGTGAACAACTACAGCTAACTCCAAGTCGTGTGTCGGATAGTTCTGTTCGTGTGGCTTTAGCTGACGTGAAGCGTAAGCAACGACCTGGCCATCTTGCATGAGTACGCATCCCAAACACTGTCTTGAAGCATCACTGAAAATAGTGAAACTCCGAGAAGGATCAGGAATAGTCAACACCGATGCGGTGGTTAGCCTCTTATTGAGCTCCTAGAAGCTCGATTCACATCAATCAGTCCACTCAAACTTCACAGACTTCCTCGTCAGCTGGGATAGAGGGAGGGCAATCTTGGAAAAGCCCTCAGTGAATCTGCGGTAATAGCCAGCCAAAGCGAGAAAACTGCGAACCTCGGACGGACTCTTCGGTGTCGACTAGTTCTGAACAGCGGATACCTTAGATGGATCAACCTCGATACCTGCCTGAGTAATAACATGGCCAAGAAAGGGTACTCGCCGGAGCCAGAATTCACATTTAGAGAATTTAGCATATAACTTTTCTCATCTAAGGGTTTCAAGGACAACCCTCAGATGCTCCTCGTGCTCCTTCTGGCTCTTGGAGTAGATAAGAATATCATCAATGAAAACAATAACAAATTGATTGAGGTAAGGATGGAAAATACGGTTCATCAGGTCCATAAAAACTGTTGGAGCGTTACTGAGGCCAAATGGCATGACGACGAACTCATAATGACCGTAGCGAGTACGGAAAGCGGTCTTAGCAATGTCTGACTCCTTGATTTTCAGCTGATGGTAGCCTGATCGTAAATCAATCTTGGAGAAAACACAAGCTCCCCTCAGCTGATCAAATAAATCGTCAATCCTGGGAAGCAGATATTTATTTTTGATCGTCAACTGGTTAAGGTCCCGGTAGTCGGTACACATGCGCATAGAGCCGTCCTTCTTTTTAAAGAAAAGAACGGATGTTCCCCATGGTGAAATGCTCGGTCGGATGAAACTGAGTCGCAATAATTTCTGAATTTGCGCCTTAAGCTCTTGCAACTCCTTCGGCGCCATTCGATAAGGTGCTTTGGAAATTGGGCCGGCTCCTGGAATAAGGTCGATAGAGAACTCTACCTGCCGGTTAGGTGGTCCTCCTGGAAGTTTGTCCAGAAACACGTCCACGAACTCACGAACAATTGGAACGTCGTGAGGTGTTCGTGCCTTCGGTGAATCATTGACAAGGCTTACAAGATAACCCTGACAGTCGCCTCTTCGTAGAATCTTGGTGGCTTTCGCCATAGAAATAACATGAGGCAAGGAACGAGTCTTGGTGCCAAAGAAAGTAATAGAATCATCTCCCGGAAGATAAAGAGTAACCTCCCGGTCATGACACCGAATATCTGCATAAAAATATGATAGCCAATCCATTCCGAGAATTAGGTCAAAATCCCTCATCTCGAGAACATAAGCGTCGGTAGACAGTTTACGGCCACCGATAGAAAGGCTGAGATCTGTAGCTTTAGTAGCGGTCACTATCTTTTGTCCCAAGGCTAAACTCACCTCGAGAGGATAGACAACGGTTATGGTATGTACTCCGATGGCATCGAGACATCGTCGTGATATAAAAGAATGTGTTGCTCCAGTATCAAATAAGGCTAAAACAGGAACATCGTTAAGCATAAGCATTCCTGACATGGTACCTGGTTGTTGTTCTGCCTCGGCCTGATCGACCGCATAAACTCGTGCCTGCTGTCTGCCCCTCTGCTGCTGCTGGGGCGGCCTCTGAGCCAGTTGTCTGTTGGGTTCTATTAGGAACGTCAAACAACATGCACAGTATTGAACTTTATCGAAATAAATCCTAACGCAATAGAATCTATAGTTAGGATATGGACGTTTACCTTTTAAAACTTTTGCCGACTCTGAGACGATGTAGAGTACCGTTGATGAAGTACGTCTGAACACCACAACCTAATGGGAGGATAGGTTTGGCCTTTAGTCGATTCTAATCAACACATCAAATAGATCACGGTCGAACAGCACGCAGGTCTCGGCGTCGGGTTGCAGCGGGCAGCTCGTGTGCGTCGGGCGCAGACAGCGTGCGTGTACGCGGGTCGTGAGCACGGTCGCGGACTGCTGGCGTGATGCGGACGAGTGCTGGCAGGGTGTGTGTTGCGGACGTGCGGGGAGCAGGCTACGCAGACGGGCGCTGGCAGCCTCGGGCGTGTGCGTGCACGCGGTGCGCTTCTCCTATGCCGATGCGGACTTGCGTTGGGCGTCTGGGAACACGCGGCATGCGGAGCAAGGTAGCAGGGCATTCGTGGATGGTCGCGTGCGTTGCACTGGCGCGCTGGGGACGACGAGATCTCGCTCGATAGCGGACGTGCAACAGGAGCAGATCGCGAATGGAGAACACGACTGGGACGTTGGGCGTGACTCCCGATGGCGTGGGGCGTCGCTGGGAACTCGCAGGCGCCGCTTGCGGTCATGCTGGGAGTTCGGTGATGGGCCTGGCTGGGCGCGACTGCGAGCAACGGCTTGCGGTGGCAATCGGTTGGGCTCGGCTGACTTCCGGCAGCGATAGCGATTTCCGACGTCGATCGACGACGGTGGATGGCTGCGGTCGGCAGGGAAAAGTGGCCGGAAATATATATGTATAAAGGCTCGAATAAATTGTATCCAAAAGCCTTCTAACGGATTACCTAAACACCTACTTCGATTAAACTTGGTGGAGCGTTTAATCGAATCTCCCTAACTCTCGAACGATGCTATTTCTCACGTGTATGTAGATGAGAAAATCGACCAACATAACATTGTAGTAGAGGTTGGGACATGGTGTATTTATATGCTCCATTAGGGACCTTAAGGAGGTGCTAATTATGGGCTTATTCCATTAGGCCTAGGAATCCTAATTCTACTCCAATACTAATTTAATGTAGGAAGAAAATCTCCTACTAATCTCCTCCTTCTAGAAGACTTCTAAATCTCCTAACACTAGAGAAGATCCTTGTAGAATATCTTTTCTAATTAAATTAATAACCATGGAATAGAATTAATTCCTAATTTAGGAAGCCTAATTTTACTCTAATTAATAATATAATGTAGGAAATATATTTCCTACTAATCTCCATCTTCTAGAAGACTCTCAAGTCTTCTAATCCCAAGAGAAGATTCTAGTAGGAATTTTATTCTCCTAATTAATTAATTAATATAGAATAAAATTAATTCCTATTTAATGG